AATCCTTTAATTCACTTAAAACTGCCCTTCTGTCCACTCCTGCCCTTGAACTGCCTGAAGTAACAAAACCCTTCCATCTATACATTGATGAAAATAAAGGGGTAGCGAAAGGAGTTGTAATCCAACACCTAGGCCCCTGGAAAAGACTGGTAGCCTATCTCTCAAAAAAATTAGACCCAGTAGCAGCGGGGTGGCCCCCGTGCTTACACATAATAGCAGCAACAGCCTTGTTAGTCAAAGATGCGAGCAAACTTACACTGGGGCAAGAACTACATATTACTACCCCGCATGCCATAGAAGGGACTCTTAAGCAACCTCACAATCGATGGCTCAGCAATGCGCGGCTCACCCACTACCAAGGACTGTTACTGAACCCAACCAAGATTATCTTCCAGTCACCTACGGCACTGAACCCTGCCACCCTGTTACCAGATCCGGATTTGGGTGCTCCGCTCCATGATTGTGTCGGCATTCTAGCTCAAGCGCACGGGATCCGAGCTGACCTACGAGACACCCCCTTACCAGATGCTGAGGTTACCTGGTATACAGATGGGAGCAGCTTTGTGCGTGGTGGACAAAGGTATGTGGGAGCGGCAGTGGTGACGGAAACTGCAATAGTTTGGGCTGAACCGTTACCGGCGGAAACATCGGCACAACGAGCTGAACTAATAGCATTGACCAAAGCCCTAACTTTGGGAAAAGACAAAAAGTTAAATATTTATATGGACAGTCGTTATGCTTTTGCCATGGCACATATTCATGGGGCAATTTATTGGGAAAGGGGACTACTATTGTGGAAGGGAAGACAATTAATAACAAAAATGAGATCCTAGATCTACTAGCTGCCCTGTGGCTCCCAAAGAAACTTGCCATCATTCATTGTCCGGGGCACCAGAAAATTACCACCCCAATTACCCGAGGCAACAATCTAGCAGACCAAACTGCCTGAGAAATTGCGCTGTCTACCAACCTAGTATTAACTTCCAACTACCTGATCCTAGGAGTCCCACCTTACCTGCAAACCCCAACTACATGGAGGAAGACTTGAAATGGATTAAACAATTACCCAGAACTCAGTACATATGCAATTGGTGGAAATCAGCAGATCACAAAGCCATCCTCCCCAAAAAACTGGGAGAAGAAATTTTATTCAAAATACACCAAACCACCCATTTAGGAACCAAAAAGATGCAGGA